AACTTATTAATTAATGTTTTATTTTTATTATAGCTACTACAGCTAAATTCCTATCCAAATTCTAATAGTGTTTTGGTTCTTGATAATGTGCAAATTCATCATAATGATGGGTTGCTTGAGTATTTAGATACGTTTGGAGTACGTGTGGAGTTTCTTTCACCATATTCACCTGACCTTAACCTAATCGAAACTGCATTTTCTGTGATCAAGAATGATTTTGATACTTTGTTGAAAATTCACACAACCCAACATATCTTTTATTAGTGGCATGTGCACAAATTTCGCCAGAAATAGCAAAGAATTTTTATGAAACTTTGGGCTATAAGTAAAAAAAAAAATCTAGATTTATGCAATACAGTTATACGAATCTTATACTAACAATTACAATTATCTTATTTAGGTAACTGCAAAATCAAAAAGTTTGTATTGCAATTATACGTACAATTTATCTAGCCTTTTATAGATTTTTTCACAATGATTTTATATCTTGTTATATGCAGGTATTTTAAGAGTAAATAATAATCACATCTAATTATTTGAAATTAGATTTATTATCATTATAAGAAATCACTTGTGATAAAGGCTAGTTATCTGCCCATTTTAAAAAATTTGATAGTATTAGTAATTATGTAAACAGGTTTCAAAACAGAATATAAAATACTAATTATTTACTAAGCAGATTTATATTGTTCAAAATATGTACATTGAGAAAAGTGTGAAAAATGCACTGGGTACAAATAATACAACAACACACTACCACTACTCTAACCAGAACACTACTAGTACAACCAAACCCTAATATTGGTACGGCAACGATTGAGGTGTAGTAAGACTTGGTCTGAGTAACTAGGGTGAATTGGGTTCTTAGTAATAGTGTCAGATTATAGCTCTCAATTATGTCACAAAGCTCTTAATACAGAATCACAGGATTTGGTCACGAATTCCAATCGTTATTACAGATTTTACTTATCGGAGAGATTAGTAGAGAACTCTAACTGAGCTGTAAGCTAAGCTAGACTATGCTAAGCTGTTCTAAGCTGTCTATATTGAAGAGCTAGAAGGTATTGTATTTATACTTTTACATTGCTAGTGTATGTATTCACTAAATTGTATAAATACGACATATTTAACATATGCAATATATTCGATATATTTAATAACTATGTTAAATATGTTATATATGTTAAATATGTTAACTATGCTAAAATATTCATAATGTTTAAAATGCACCAATTTGGCTAAGCCAAATATGCATCTGGTTTACCAAATATAGTAAAGTCTTATTACAATGTACGTATGTACATATGTACATACTGTATTTTAATATACAAGCCATTATTACTAATAATAACGAATGCCACATGCAGTATCAGATATAATGCAGTGCTTATTGTTATCAGTATACAATTAGTTCAATTCAAGTTTTTAAAATCAATTTCTACTCGTATGGTTATGTAGTAAATTGAAGGGTCACACTATTGTTAGTAGATTTTTTAAAGGGGCAATAATCAGAATATATGTAATTATTATTGATATAAATAAATAAAAATAAATACAATGTTTTTTTAATAAAGCAATAACGATTCTTCAAAATTTTATTGTTGAAATTACAGTTTTATAATCTGATTAGTTCAAAAAAAAACATATCCTTACAATGCTTTTGCAAATAAGCAACTATACTAATTACAACATATAGATATTTAAAATTAAAAAGCATTTTGAAAATTTTTAGCATAATCATGCAAGGTTCTTCGGGCATCAATTGTATTTACTCCACATTGCTCAAGTTCTTTGTCTGATAATTTATTTAAATGCTTTATTGAGATTTGTTGTAATTCGAATCCATTCAAAAAATCTTGATAATAATGAGTTGTTCTTTCCCTTTCATCTATCTCCTTTAGAAAATCATTCATAGTTGGTAAAATATTTGATTTATACTGACTAGCTTGAAATGGAAATAAACTAGATTGTGGTAGTATGTAGTATGAGTTAAATGGCATCAATGACGGTGTGTGGTAAGAGTTAAATAGTACTATAAATAGTTGAAATACTGAAGAACCAAAAGCCCAGTTATTTTGTGGTAATGTTTGTAATAATAGAACTGATAGTGCTTGGGCAACAAAGATGATTGTAGTGATAAAGGTCTTGTGGTGGTAAAGGTGCTTGTGGTAGTAAAGGTGCTTGTGGTGGCAAAGATACTTGTGGTGGCAGAGGTGCTTGTAGCGGCAAAGGTTCTTGTGGTGGTGGTGATTTAGAATATCTTTTTTTGGAAAATATCTTGTTGTGAGAGAAGAGATGATGTGTTGGAGAGTCTTTAACTGTACGTAATCCTTTATTCTAAATGCATATATAGTATAAATTATGTAATGATAAATTATAATTTATAATTAGTCTAGCTAATACTTTAGAACAATATTCTTTGTTGTTTGATTATCTATGCAGTTGCAAAATCTACACAGAACCCATGGGTCGATAGCGTAGTGGTTAGCGCTCCCAGGTCACAATTGCAAGGTCGTGAGTTCGAGTTTACTGGATGACAAATGGCTTTGCTAGGACCACGATTGGCTAAGATATTTGAAGGATTTTCCATTAAAAAATGAAGAACAAGATTCGTACAAGTTGCAGTCTGCCTGCATAGCCACAGGGCCAGGACAACCAGATAAAGCGTAATCTATCAATAAATGACACTAAAATTAAGAAAAACCTAGCTTAATAGAATCAAGGATATCAGATATAAAAGGACGATCTGGCTTGTGGGTCATGTGAAGTTAGGGAACTGCGAATCTAGAGAACGTAAATCCTACACCACGGCACCAGGGACCCAGGACGTCATGACATACTTAACGGAGGATGAGTTATCTCACCAGTACGGTGACATATAGATGGCCAATTCACCATATCGGTGATCTTCACAGATACGAAAACTCTGGCCTTTGAGAGATGTGAGAGATCTGAAGGTGTCTAAGGACCTTCAAGATGCAGAGGGAGATAAAAAAAAAAAAAAAAAAAATCTACACAGAATTCTGCACTATTTATATTAATTGCGACTAAATTTTAGTTAGAGCAATAGTATCCTAAATATTTTAATATTTGAGCTTACCAAGACGATCCACAAAAGCACAGATATATGATAATATGCCATGGCCATTGCATAATTTCTTAGAAAATTGTTGAATCGTCTATATAGATTTTGTATGCAACTTTACTATTTTAAGTTCACAATATGGCCATAGTGGTGGTTTAGATAATATGACCTGTACTTTTGGGGTCATCCTGGTGAACTCTTAATATTTCAAACTAACTTAAGCTAAGTTAACTGAATGATTCATGAAAACTTTTACCATATCTGATGCCCAAATCAAAAGCATCATAAATATAATTTCTACATGTAGATCTTTATTACTTTCTTTATTAAACAAGGTCAATTATATATGTTACAATGATGTTCTTTTTGAATTTCCAAAACGTTCTTAGCAGTTATTTGGTCTTGTGATAATAAAGTTGATGTACTTGGAACTTTATTGCTATTTTTGTAATTATTTGTTAATTCTTTATCATCGTTTGAATTCATATCCTATGTAAAACTATCTAGTAATTAGTAATTAATACGTATGTACTATGTACATATTTAGAATAATAACTTATTACCTTTGTTTTTTGTTTTGCTTGCATGATTGTTATATAAATTCCCATATCTATATTTTTTGTAGCTAACTTTAAGCATTCAGCCTTAAATTTTATAAAATCTTGCACATCAGCTAATTGGGTACCAGCACCAGTTTCTCTCAGTATTTTAAATGCAACACTATAATCAGTTGATAAGAGAGTATTATCTTTTACCAATACAATAATTTTATTATGAATTGATAAAAGAAATTCATCTACAGTCAATGCCAATTCTTTAAACTACTTGGCTGGTAATGAAGTTCCTTTTGCAGTTTTGACAATTAATTTGTAACTTATTTCAAATTTGGTATTATCATCACTGCTTATTATTTCATCATTGGTTATAGCAGATAGAGAGAAAGAAGATGACCGAATTATCACCTAAAGAAAGAAATATATAAATAAATTTATAAAAATAAAAAAAAGTTGTATTATTTCAATTATAATATTCGTTGCCGTATTTGTTACCGTATCTGATGCTATATCTGTTACCACATCTGATGCTACATCTGTTGCTACATCCGATGCTACATCCATTGCCACATCTGTCAATTCATCTGTTGCATTATCCATTGCTATATCCATCGCATTATCTGTTACCACATCTGTTGTTTTATTCATTAATTTTTTTTTAGTTTTAGTGGAATTAAATTTGAGCAAAATGCTATGGCACCGACCACAAAGGGAAAACTTAAAAGATTTTTTTAAATTTATTTGATAATTATACTCTAAGACTTTTTATGAATATATTCAAACTTTGGTGCTGCCCAAGTAGGTTCATATTGACGTGTATATGCTTGTTTGACATGAACAGTTCTGTTTTTTTTTGTTGGAACCAAGAATTTTTTACAACTACACGTGATCTGGTGCAAATCTACTGCACAGTACAAACATTTTCAGCATCCAAAGCAAGTTCTACGATAATATTTGAGCTTGGTGTTTAATGCATCTGCCATAAGATATTTGATTAATGTAAAAAAAAAAAAAAATTTATTGATTTTAGAATTTTTTATATTTATAGTTTATATTTTGGATTTCTGATTCCCAGATTCCTAGATTTCCAGTGATGTGTAATGTCGAAAATATAATGATCACAGTAAATTGAAAAGCGCAATAATAAAATTATAATGTATATATAGGAAATTATTTCCTAAAAAATTTTGTCACAACTAAAAATTTAAATATCTTACTGTGAAGTTTTTAAAAAAAAATTTGTGCGTATTTTTCTGCACTTTTTTATTTTTATGGTTAGGATATGATTTAGGGTTAGTTGTTATAATATAAAAGTATATATGAATTCTGGTATGGTTTATATTTTTAAATAGAGGTACCTAATTTCCAGACTCAGCCATTTCCAGTTTCAGCCACTATAAATATTTATACAATATATAATATTATAACTAGAACATGATCATGCGGGCAGCTTCGCCGCTTATAATATTCTAAAGATAATCGATTTGTTTGTTTTCTTTTTACTTTTATTTCGAAAAGTAAATTTTTCTTAGGCTTTTCCACCATTAGATGTCTATCTTGAATTTAATACACCAATTTGAGCCTCTCCAGGCCAAAGCTGGCGCATTAAATTTAAAGCATTTCTTTTCTGTCATTAGATGTTTCATCTAGAATTTATAGCTGTTTTTATAAATTCTGGGACACCTATAAAAATTTGTCGAATGATTTTTCGGCCAATTCGACTAAGTTATTGATTTCAGCAATGATCGGTGTATATTTTTACATGTAAGATAAGTTTATCATTATAAAGTAGATGTACGGTGCTATCGTACTAAAATCAGGAATGTAAACAATGTTATTTATAATTATATATGCCAATTCTTCTATTAGATCATGAAGTTTTTAATTAGATTTAGCATTACGACTTAATCTTGAAAATTTCTTTTGCTATAATATAGAGTTTCGCATTATGATTTCATCAACTGAGTTAGTTTGTAAATCGTATAGAAAAAATATATATCGCTAAATCGATATGAATAAATTAACCTAAATAAAAAATTTTAATAGTATTGTAACTAAATATTGTATATAAAGGTGGTCTGCAACCCTGTTCCAATTTATGATTAAATATAATTAGTATAATACTAATTATTGATAATAAAATATTCTGATTAAATTTAAAATAAAAACTTTATACTTTTTTAATAAAGTAAAACTCAACACATTAAAAATTAAGATAGGTTTGGGTCAATATCCTAAAGATCAAAATTCTAAAGATCAAAATTCTAAAGGTACTATATCCCAATACATTAAATCCTAAAAGAATAAAATCTCAAAGATATAATATCCTAAAAACTAAATTCTAAAAAAAAAAATCCTAAAAAAAAATCTTAAAAAAAAAATCTTAAAAAAAAAAAAAATCTCTCCAAAAAAAATCTCCCCAAAAAAAAATCCTAAAAAAAAAAATCCTAAAAAAAAAATTCCTAAAAAAAAATCCTAAAAAAAAATCCTAAAAAAAAAATCCTAAAAAAAAAATCTTCTAAAAAAAACATCTCAAAAAAATCCTAATTTTAAAAATTATAATCTGTAAAAAAACGTAACCACAGAACTACTGTGCTATAAAGTAATATGACATTTGACTTATAACGATAATGGTTATAGGATTATTAATTGTTTTATTATAGGCATTTAGAGTTATCTATATAATGATCGTATAGGTGAAAATTGTTGATAGGAATATTGTGATCATTAAAAATTAAGTGATGCAATAATAAAAATATTTTCATAAACGGTTTTATGACAGTTTCATAAGCAATTCATAACTCAGAAGACAATCAGCCAATCATACAAATCAATTTTATAATATTTTTAATGGTTAATACTGGCAATTCTCAACATCATATAAATAATTGGATCAAACTTTATATTAGGAATGTAGTAATAAAATTATGGAGTTTATGGTTGACAGATAACTAGAATAGCTTCTGGATTATGATTAGATAGTGGTTAGGCATATAAAACCATTATAGAATATATATATATGCGTAAATAGATGTGTTGTACTCATAGAGTGGGGTTCGTCTGATTGGCTTATGTGAGTCGATTGTCTGGATAAGAGTCAATTATCTGGATAACTTGTTTATATACTTTAAAGTACATTTGAAAAACTCGATATTTCATTAATGAAAAATCAACACAAATATTGTTGTTGGTAATGATGTTTGGTATATGGGTAAATTCTCAAAACCGACACATTTGGATATGAAGATGGAATATGCGGTTATTTGTTAGATGATATGAAATTTTGTTGTATAATAAAGGTATTGTAAATGTTTTTATTGCAATTTTAAATTAATTTAAAGATAAACAGTACTTTAAATAAAATGTATAAGTCAATTATTTATGTTCTAATAATTATTAAAAAGTTCATTACGAATCTCTAGTACAAGTCTACTAATTATATTATGTTCTGGTTTGAGCACGACTACGTCATGCAGCTACCCTAATTAATTATTATCTAATAATCAACAAAATCTACCCATACATTATTAGATTAATCCTCCAATCACTATTTCAAGAAAAACACCAGTGGTATTCGCCTTTTCAACTCCAATTCTATTAGAATATCTTATGTTCACTTAAATTCAATTAGAATTCTTATGTTCGCCTTTTTTAACTCCAATTTTATTAGAATGTCTTATGTTCGCTTTTTTCAACTCCAATTCTATTAGAATATCTTATGTTCATCTTTTTCAACTCCAATTCTATTAAAATTCTTATGTTCACCTTTTTCAACTCCAATTCCATTAGAGTATCTTATATTCGCCTTTTTCAACTCCAATTCCATTAGAATATCTTATGTTCGCCTTTTTCAACTCCAATTCTATTAGAATGTCTTATGTTCACTCAAATTTAATTAGAATTCTTATGTTTGCCTTTTTCAACTCCAATTCCATTAGAGTGTCTTATATTCACCTTTTTTAACTCCAATTCCATTAGAATGTCTTATGTTTATTTTTTTCAACTCCAATTCTATTAGAATGTCTTATGTTCGCTCAAATTCAATTAGAATTCTTATGTTCACCTTTTTCAACTCCAATTTCATTAGAATTCTTATGTTCACCTTTTTCAACTCCAATTCCATTAGAATATTTTCGCCTTTTTCAACTCCAATTCCATTAGAATGTCTTATGTTTGTCTTTTTCAACTTCAATTCCACTAGAATATCTTATATTCATCTTTTTCAACTCCAATTCCATTAGAATGTCTTATGTTCACTCAAATTTAATTAGAATTCTTATGTTTGCCTTTTTCAACTCCAATTCCATTAGAATGTCTTATATTCGCCTTTTTTAACTCCAATTCCATTAGAATGTCTTATGTTCACTCAAATTCTATTAGAACTTTTATGTTCACCTTTTTCAACGCCAATTCTATTAGAATGTTTATGTTCACCTTTTCAACTCCATTTCTGCTTTTTAACACACAAAGATTATGTTTCTTTAACATCCACTTCTGCAGATTTTTGATAATCTATAAATGCTTATGTTTATATCCATTTCACTTTGGTATCAATATCCAACATTATATGTTCTGCTAGCATTTTCCATCTCTGCAGATTTTTAATAATCCATGATTACCTTATGTCTGTTCTTTTTTTACTCCATTTTGTTTCAACTCTGATTCCCTTTTTTGTAATGATATCCAACATTACATATCGCTTTAGTATCTCCAATTTTCGCAGGCTTTGATAATCCATGAAAGTTTCATATTCATCCTTTTAATTTCAATTCCATTTTATTAAAGATATCTATCATTATATAGGTTCTTGATAATCCATTACGTTTATCCTTTTCAACTCCAATTCTGATTTAATATAAATATCCAACATTATATGTTCCATAAGCATTCTTACTTCTGCAGATTTTTGATAATCCATGAATGCTTTATATTCATCTTTTCAATGTCAGTTCCTCTTTTATAACGATCTAGGCGTCTATTTTACCAATATCATATATCAGCAAACTTGATAATAATTTGATTCTTTTTAAGTTTTTATTTCAACACTAGTAAAAACAACCAGTGATAGAATCAGCGATAATAAAATCATTAAATTCAAACTAAAACAAACCCGATAATATTAAATGGGTTTGCTGGATCGAGAGTTATTAAATAAAATTGAATCAAGAACGTAAAGTAACTGATTTGAAAATATTTTATTTGTTGGTAAACGTTCTTGATTCAATTCGGATGGATATGCACATGATGCCAAGTAATTTTATTACATATAAGTAAATTAAAAAAATCGTATTAATGCAGCCGTAGAGCCTTACATATACCAATGCCCATCGGCATCATTTGATCAGTGGTCATTGAGCTGCTTTCAGTCACTGAGCCACGATCGTACTAAACAAACTCTAATTCATAAAGTCATTGAGATGCAATTAAGGTCCTTGCACTGCTACGCAGCCGTGGAGCCTTACAGCTGTCAATATCTATTGACATAAGATACTTACACACAAATTATAACGTTGATCTGTGGACATTGCACAATCATACTACGTAGCTCTATATCATATATTCATTAAGGTCCTTGCACTGCTATGCAGCCGTAGAGCCTTACATATACCAATGCCCATCGGCATCATTTGATCATTGGTCATTGAGCT